CACCCCCAGTTTCCTCATCTGTTTCTCCGAATATGGTCCTTAGTCCTACAGCTCCAGAGGAGGAAGCGATTTACGATGCTGACGCTGTCAGATCCCATTTGTCAGAGGGACAGGAGAGTCAGTGCTTGAGATGCCGCAGATACCTTTAAAATGACAGTGTGTTTGTTCTAACAAATCAAACAAAATGAAAGCTGTCATAAAGGTGTGTTTTTGTCTCACTTTATTCGAGTAAATTTGACCACTGGAGTGTTTTTGCAGCAAATGTTTTGGCCACAGTCTCTGGAAGTGAAAATAGCAACTGACACAGACTCTGTCGGTGTGTTTGATAGCTCAGACTGAAAACTTCACTCCAACTTCAGTATTTTCTCTTACCATCCTCCAGATCTCCTTGTTTTTGCTACTATGCTTTGTACACTCACAGTGTCCTTTAACTTCATTAGAACCCTCCTGTCTGGTAATTGCCCACATCCTTTGAACTCCACGACCCCATTTTGTAACTCAGGCTTTCTGTTTAACCTTTGTATTCCCCATGCCCACTCAAAGGCTGATATATTGTAATCCTCAATATTGTTAGGTTCTGAAGTTTGCCAGTGGAGATTTTTAAAAGATAATTTTAAGGAAGTTGCACGACACGCGCTGCAATCGCTGCTCTCTCTGAATATAAACGTAAACAGGCGACTGCACAGGCACAGTCTCCTGTTCAGCAATGAGTCAAAGTGAAATAGTTACCTGGATGTAATCCTAATAAGAACTTGCAAAGCCCACCATAGTTCTGTATTAAAAAGTAAATGAAAGAATATAAACACAGGTGGTGTGTGGAATATATTTAAGGCAGGACACGGCCTGATCTGTCTAGTGTTGCGGGGTTGCCTTAAATGATGAACACTGATCTACAAATCAAAACCTACGCTGTTGATATTTACAGCCCATATATACCCTTTGTGTCAGGCATAAATATAAAAGCTTTTCTGGAGACTTTACACATACCAAAGTAAGAAAACAGGAAAGTAGCATATCAAGACAGCGGTGTGTGCTTCTGAACAGGTGTGTGTACAGTTTGTAGAGAAGAGCAGAGGGTTTGAACATTATAATAACTAAATATACTTGTTTTTGATTGTTTTTATTATGATGTCAATATGTCATTTAAATATACAGTGTAATAATGTTTTATTGAATTAGTTAAAGTTTAAATATTCTTCATGTCATGTATTTAAAAACTATCCTTTCAAGCATTGTGCTGTTTTCAGCAGTACAAAGTGTTATCATGTAATGTAAAAGGTAAGCGTCCGGGCCCTGCGGGTTTGTATTTCAGCCTGTAGGAAAGAGATACGACAAGCAGGTTTGAGGTTAGTAAACAGCACTTGAAAGGGTCACGAGTTTTACTGCAGAGGGTTAAAGGTCCAAACATTCATCCTGCTGTAATTGAATTGGCCGGATGTATGAAGCAGCTCCAGTTCAGTTGCACGCACCAACACACAACACAAACACACAAATATACAGTGGAAACACACATGAACTCAGTTTCACATGCACACATGAACTCAGTCACATGGTTAATCAGACACGCGATCATGCCTGAACACATGCGCGCGCACACACACACACACACGCACACAGAGGAACATATTGGTCCTCATCTGTGCCAGCGCTCCATTGACCCATATTGCGCTTTGCCCAGCAGTCAAACGCCTCTCAGTCTCTCTCCAGCCCTTGTCTGACTCACTCTCAGGAGGTTCATCACTGCTACTATCTGCTGACTGAGACCCAAAATCTGCCCTGAATATCTGGATCATGTTGTCCGCTTAGTAAGAGTTAGTAAGCGGGGCGTGAGCATTGCTCCATTTCTCTCTCAGTCAATAACACTTGTAATATGTTGAATTTAAGCTGTTTCTTCTTGTCACACATGTAATTTTGTCACTTGTTCCATTAACAATGGAAGAAGAGCTTCTTCTTGTTTTTGTAAAATAATTCAAATTCTCACGTAACGTCACATTATCAGTTCTCTCTTGATTGTATGTAGAAATTAAGAATAAACTAATTTAATGTTGTTCCAATAGATGTCTGTTATTTCAAATAGTGGATGTTAATTAACAATCTTCAAATCCATTCCCCTTGGCAGAATGATTGCCCATACAACCTTGAGGGTCATAAAGGTGGGGAGGTTTGGGACAGAGCAACTAAATCTAGATGCTTTCTGAGACATTCACCGTCTCATTCAGTGATTCTCTGTTTTAGTTTAGACTGAGATGTGTCTGGTATTTCTCTATGTGTGTGTAGCTGTTGGCAGGGTGAGTCTATTTCCCCCATCAGTGCATAAATTTGCACAATAATCTGTGCAGCTGTTCACTAATTGGACGTATCTTCTCACTGATTGGTTGGTTCATTCGTTCAATGATTACTGGGGAATGTATGTCTCTAAATGTGAAGCCTATGTTTATGTGATTGATAGCAAAACATGCACAAAAAAATCTGCCACAAATCTGACATTGTTAAACCTCATCAGTCTGTGATGCTCACTGTGTTCCAGGTGTTTTCATTGAGATAAAATTTAGCTTCAAGGCTTCAGCAGGTGCATTCATTGATCTTCATGCCTCATGCATGATGGACTTCATGGATGTTGGATGGATGTTGACCATCAGTACAAAATGGTGGCTGTTATAAATCTTTGTTCTCAGAGACTCACACCTAAACCTGATGTTTAGATATGGTGCATTTAATACAATCTCCACCTCATTATAATGCGAATTAAAGTATCTCAAGGTGATGTTACATTATCGACATTTAGCCAATTATCAGCAGGAGTGAGAAACTTCACACAGCAAAATAAAATATGTCACCAGTAGCAGTTTGTAAACGCCTTAACCAGCATTTAAAAATTAAGGAAAGTCAATGAATTACAATGGAATCACTTTGAGGGCAGAGGGCTTGCTAACTGACAGCTTGCCATCTTTGAGAGTTTTTTTTTTCCTCTTCAATAACTCTTTATTGTAAGAAATTATCCTGACAACAAAATACCAGTGAGGAGTAAACAGCTCAGTACAGAAAAGATATAAAGAAGGTCTCAGAGCTATTGTGATTAACTAGCATTTATTATGTTCCCAGTTTGCTAGCGTTAGCTTGTAAGCCACTGAATTTCACCAACTAGACTGAACTTCACGGGCATTTTCAGGTGTGACCGGACAATAACAGTGCTAAACAGTATTAGTGGGGTGTGACTATTTTAGGAGCACATTAGGGAACAGAAGCGGAGGATCAGGGAGGGGAAAATGTTTCAAGGGGAAAAGAGGGGTAAATTTATACATTTTCATCTAAAGGCAGACAGGGAGTAATTCTTACTGCAGACTGCAAATGCAGGTTTGGTATTGATCCCTTCAAATTCCATTCAGTTCATAATGTGCAACATCAATTCCACAATATTACAGTATTAGAAATCAGAAAAGTTATCCCAGCAGCTCTAATCCTGAACCCATTATACTGATCTGTGTATTTTTTTATAAATTCAAGTGAAGCTGTTCTCATCAAGAAGTTTTGATCCATAGATGTACTGTTATTGTTGAATTTCAGAGGCATTGAGCTGGAACTACTCTGTGGCTTACACCATATTTTCATAAATGATTCTCTTAATCCGTTTGACTTTTAACCTCCACCTAGATTTATCACATGGGCAACCTCACTGGATCGAGTATTGAGGAACGTCATTATTGCAGTTTGTGGCTAATGCCTGAAAAGCAGGTCATATGGTAATGAGGGTTCTCAATATACAGCGGGGCGGCAGAGGGGGAAAAATATGAAAATAATAAACTATAAGTTTAACAGTTAAGTTTTTGTACATAAGTGAGTCCGTCTTTACAAAACTTTCCATTTCACTATATGGATGTGCCGTAATGTGTGTTTGTAAGTGTCTGTGTACAGTTTGCATGACAAAGTAAAACCAAAGCTCAGAAAGAAAAAACAAATCTCAGAACACAACCTGGCAGATGAAGGGACATTTCCTCATAAAACTCTCTTGTTAAAAATAACAATAATGCGCTGGTTTCTATTCTAGACTGAGTTTTTCCACATGTTCCTGACCAGCAGAGCAGAACACTAAATCTAGAGTTTCATGAAGCCTTTTATATCAAGTGACAGGACAAATTATTTTAAATACTGGTGTCGAATTGCTCTGAAATAATAACAATAATACTCTTTATTTATAAAGCACTTTTGAAAATCCATGTTACAAAGTGCTTTCAAAGATTAAACAAGAAAATGTTTTTAAGGAATCAAAATACAGTTAATTTGTAAAATGCACAATGCAAGAACTGCTGCTTTATTTAATCCTTCTTTTGCTTTTTCTCGATTAACAACCCTTTGAACCCTAGGCTGTCACTACATGTCTTAGCAATACTGTTATTTCCAGAACATGTGATTTGGTGTGTAAGTGGTAATGCATATTAACTAGGACACCAAATGGAATCTGGAATAAATGTTTAAAGTAGGGTAAAATCTTGGCGCTTTTTTGCCAAAATGTCCACAGATTTGAAAGACACCATAAATATCTGTATTAGAATGTGTAGACGAGAGCGTCAGTGCTCCAGCAATATAAACACCATGTTGATGGTTAAATTACTAATGTAAAACAAATCCAATTTCCATTTGGTTATCCATATGTCTTGGCCAACAGGTGTACAACAAGTTCAATGTTGCCAAGGAGTTAGTAAGTAAGCTCTGAGCTAGGCCTATATTTATTTAATTTGAAAATGTGGTGAATCTGCATGCAAGCCATGCTGAATAAGCTGGTAGAAATTACTGTCACCTTAATCAGTGATGTACAAATAGCAATGACAGGTTTACCTTTGATACTTGTTGCAATTTTTGATGAAGATGGGATTAGTGAACTACTTGATTAGTGAATTTGAAGTAGTTATGGCCTGGAAATTGTTATTATATTTTGTGAATGCAATGTGCGGTAAATGCTTTTGTCAACGGGTGAATGTGTTTGTGTTTATGTCGCATCATACCTGCAGAAGACTCCCATGCCCTCCAGCAGGTAACACTGTCCCCCGTTGAAGCAGTAGTTGGGCAGCATGTCGCAGGGCGAGCGGCAACTTCCGTTCACCGTCTGGTAGCCCACACGACATCCACCCATCCCGTCCGACCCATCAACAGGAGGGGCCGCAACTGGGACGTTTGGTACTGGAGCTCCGGCGCCAGGAAGTGCTTCCCCAGGGATGAAGGAATCAGACCCTGGGACCCGGGGCCTGGAGCGAGCTGGAGACCCAGCAGAGAACCGGAGGTCTTCGTCACTCTCGTAGGCATCGGTTGTGGTGCTGTAGGTGTACTCATCAGTAGTGGGAGACGCTCCATCCTCGTAGGGTGTGAGGTAGTCGTAGTTCTCCGGCATCGCCCAGGAAGTCTGGTCACCTCCCTGTAGCTCATGGGCCTGTGACGAAGGAGAGGGCGGGGCAAGGTCAAGGCTGCGCCCACGAGAGGCAGGGTCGAAGAAGTCCACATGGAGGACATCGGGGTTAGAGGGGTTGGTGGCGGCCGAGGGCGGGGCAGTAGTGGTAATAAGGTGATCCAGGTCAAACACGGCCGTGTCCTTGGCATGGATCCAAGGCGGGTCGGTGTGTGGCAGACGCTCCTCCTCCTCCTCCTCTTCCTCCACTTCCTCCTCCTTGCCCCCCATGACCTCCGGTACTTGTGTGTCGCTAGGCAGCAAGAGCTCCGTTTCAGCCGAATCAGGGCTGAGCTGGGGTGGGGCTGCCACACCCGCTTCCTCCACAGGAGCCACTGTTTCACCAAACATGCCGCTGCTCTGCTCCTCGTCCTCGCCGGCACGGGGGATCCGGCCTGCCCTCGGGGTCACAGTGCTGATCATGTCGGGACTGGCTGAAATGCTCATCTCCTCGACCTTGACAGGCCCCTCCTCCTCGTTAAGCAGGGAAGTAACATTGGCCATGCTGTCCTGCTCTGTGGAGTTTATCCCGACCACGTTTCCTACAAAAGACAAAAACAAAAAACGTTTCTTATAATATAACAACTGAGAAAGTGAGTTTGTTTTAAAGCTTTGAAAGGAAAACATTGGCTTTGTATCTATGACTACTGGATAACAGTATCTTCAATTATTACTCTGCATTATGAATTTTTAATTCATGAAGGTGGTTATCCAAGCCTGTTTCGTTCTGCCTCTCACTATCTCTCAGTACCCCAACTGGTTGAGGCAGTTGGCCTGGAGCCTGGTTGTGTTCAAGGTTATGAAATAATAATAATTATTACAAAGACTACGGTCTATTCCTGCTCTACATGACAAGTTCCCTGACATAAGTTCTGCTATGGTTTTGCGCTATGTAAATAAAATTTACTTTCAACTTCCACTGGTTTCGCTGGTTTTCACTTGTTTTGCAATGGACGTTGTGGCATGATGATATCCTCAGAAAGTGTGAGTCACACTGAAATTAAAAATATGTGCATGACAAATAAAACTGCTCATCAAACATGTACACAGCTTTAACTGTAGAAAAGTGTACTTCTGTGCAGCAAGCAGTAGAAAAAAGAAAACCATTACTATTAAAAATTCAACAATCAAGACGCTGAAAATAAACTGGTTGAGGACAGACAGGTGAAAACAGCAACATCCCTTTCTGGAAGGCTTGCTGTCAGTTCCAGAAGTAAATACATTAAAATCAATCTCATTGGTACTAATTGAATGTTTATTCACTGATATCTAAAACAAATATAACCCCAAAAAGGTGGCATAAAAGCAGGTCTCAGAAGCAAAAATGTATCTTCCAGGAATATAACCAAATATTAGCTAAGAAGAACTGCAAAAAAAATGCACTGGGCTGTTAGATGCAACATCTGCTGTTGTTTGTATCTGAACTATAATACAAACATACTCATACAATCACCAACTGGTTCAGTTCTCTCTTTCCAAAGACATTTTCCAGCCTCACACAGCAGTGGTCCACTCACTGCCACTCAATAACGTCTTTGCATTATGCGATTGACAAAGTGGGCTCAAGGAGTCTGGCATTTAACCCGACCGGTGAAACAAATTAAAACAAGATGTGATTGGCTGTATACTTATCATCTGGTCGATTACTGAATCCGAGGGCAGCTCATTGAGTCGAGCAAAAAGCCGCTTTACGGCATCTCCCCCATTGGATTAAAGGAATAATTCACTAATGTAGTTGAATGGCAAGGAGCTGGGATTACGGATTATAAGGGTCGGAGAGGGAGGGATTTAGGAGACTTTGGGGGGTGCCCTGCAGGGGGTTGAGGTGATGATCTTGAGGAGATCCAGACAAAACAGCGTCTCAACAATTGCAAGAAAGCTTTGAATATGTGAAGATGACACAGAGACTGTTAATCATGAGTGACAAATGAAAATGTCAACAGAGAGTTGAAATAAACCTTACAGTAATGATTAGTTGAGATTTATCTCTTTTTTTTTGTCAGCACCAGTTTCCCTGAACAGACTGAACAATGTATCTATACTGCTGACGAGTCTCTGTAGCCACCGCAGTCTAGCCCGGTTTCAGACCTCTGAGTGACCGAATCTTCAATATCTTTTCAGCAAAATATTTCTGGTGTTGTGCAACGCAGTTGGTCGTGCCGGCATGCCACTTGTTATGTAGCTGCACGGTTGCTGATTATCAAGCTGCAGGTAGTGGGGGTGATGTGATAAACCTTTTGGTAATCTTTTCACAGCTTTTAAGTGTTGGCAGAAATACTACAGTACATTTCCCATTTGGATTCAGCCACTACAAGCCGAGTGAAGTATATGTTTATTAGTCTATATTGTTTACAAAGCTGCTGGCCTACTACACATCGTATTTTGTTTACTTGCCACACAGTAAAGTTGATTCAAATAAGCCTAAGCAAGCAAGTGCCATTTTGTTTGACATAAAAATGGAGTGGAAACCAGGGCCACTCAGCTCAAAATGTCACTACGGGTTTTGGGTTTTGAAGCACACCTACTGACAGCTGTTCTCCAGGTTGGAAAACAATCGATCCAAACAGAGCTTTGCAGATGGGACAAGGGAATTTCCTGTGTGCTGTTTCTAGACTACTAATTGTGTGAAATTTATGTTGAAGGGGTGGATACGCCAGTCACTGCTGACTGGTTAAAAGGCAAAATATCTGGATTTCCCAAACACAAATCAGAAAACATGAACTGAAGCCCTATGGCAATTCAGCCTGATTATCATGCTAACAGAAATCTACTCTTGCATTTGGTGACACGTTTTTTTCATTGTCATCAACACAATGAGTTTATTTTATCCTGAAATAACTCCATGACTGCATTCTCATCCCAAAGGTCGTTCAATACTGGCTTCTGTTTACACTGTTTTGTTAGTTTGATGAGCTGTGAGGAAGAAACTATAACATCTGTAATGAAGGAATACAACACCCGATGCAACAGTTGGGCTTTTTCATGGGTTTTTTGACAACATTAAAGTTCTGTAACATCAAGTTGTATCAGACTGTGTCTACACAGAAAAAACAAGACAGATACAGGGGAACTGCCTCTATCCTTTCCTGCATTTCCCTTGATGCATTTAGACAGCCCACAGAGTGCATACTTTAACTTGATAACGTTCCTAATTAACTAAGTAATAATTGTGTTACTTTTTAGTTACTTACTTTTTACTTTTTGTTATTTTATGGGGACGGAGGTCCTAGACATCCCTGTAAAAACAATGTTATATCTCTGGCATCACAATATATTCAATATAAATTGCTGTTAAATAAGCACTAGACTAAAAGGTCCAGAGAAATCTTATCAACTTATCTTTAATAATGAAATGATGAATTAACATCAGTGCTATCCTTAAATATTCCATCAGTGGCCTCATCGTTGTCATCTACGCTTATGAAAAGGGGTCACATCACATTTATACATCTTGTTTTGGATAACATACAGTATATTCATGTTTTAAGGTTTGGGGGTTCAATTCCCATCCTGAGCCCCTCATGGTCAATAAATGTGCGTATTTGTGGTCGTATAAGGAGCTTTGGTAAACAGCCTCCACCAAATGGCATATGTGAGGATATCTGGGAGGATCTTTGCTGACTCTAGATAAGCTCTGACCACGACCCTCTGGGATTTTAATCTGTCCATCTCTAAATGTCTCCTCAACACTCAGTGAGGCTCCATTTACACAGCCAGTGGTTTATTATTTATCATGATCTCCACCAAGGTTTTATGACTTACATGACGTGATGTCTCATTTGGGAACAAACAGACATATTAGGTCCACACCCTCAGATGGTAACAAGCCGCAATGTAATATCAGGCAGAGACTGCAGCCAGGAAACCAGTACTGCTTGTTGGGCAGCTTTTACACAGTCTCTTTTACCTCTAGTGATTTTCTACATGTCACAAAATTTCTAAAAATCAAATTGGTTTCTTAATCTTACTTAAATAAATACCTAATTGGTTGTTTCTGGCATCACAAGAATTTGTCAGTTTCTCTGCTTTTTTTCTGTTGAATGTCAGTTGACACAATTGAGACATGAATTAATAACAGTAATCCACTAGCAATTGCTTGAGTTGTACTGCAGTTTTTACATTTAGCTGGAAAGAACAATAACAATTGGTTAAGAGCAACAGACGTAGAGGTTTGATGAGCAATTTCAATCGCAACATATGATGTGATTTTATTGCATTCTGGTCTATTGAGAGTAATACTAAAATGACATTTTTGTCCCTGCTCCTTCGGGGATGGATGTTTTTCTCAGATAGAAAGAGGAGAGATGACAGAAAATGAGGAGATTAAGAGAGGGGACTGACAAACGCCAACTCAGATGCAAACTTGTGATGTAGCAAATCATTATCTGCACCTGTAACCCCTAGCCCACCAGGGTTATTAGGATTTGTGTAATTGTTGAAGTATTGTTGAAAAGAACGTGCCCTTGATTATTGGTTCTCGGGAATGTACATGAAAACATGATGTTCACCGCAACATAATGATCCCAGGCAGACACTCAAGATTTAGAACCAGTAAGATCCCTATGGCTGGTGGAAAACTAATTCATACACTAGACCATCACAGGATATTAGCTCTGCTTCAGTTTTTCATTTTAAAGAAATTAGTTCTGCTTTTTGCAACACATTGTATATCATAAAGTATTGGTCCTACTGTTGCTGCAGGGGGATTGAATCTTGGGTGCAAAAGTCTACGTGTTATTCCCCAAGCACCCACTGTCAAAGTACCCTTGAGCAAGGCTTTTTTCTACCAGTGGCTGCTTCTCTTGCCAATGAAGAGGATAATATGGTTGAATTGTATCAATGTGTGAACGTAAAGCCGGGCAGTGCAGGTAAAGAGCATGTCTGCAAAAAAAAAATCTTTCCTGAACAACCACTGATCAATAAATATTTTACTCCAAAATAAACCAATACATATCAATGGATCAGTCATCACCAGGTGCACGTGTGACAGGTGGAAGCCTTCAGTTTATTGAATATTTTGTTTTGTGGCGCAGCAGCAATGAGCTTCGTCTTTGAAGCCGGGGTCGTTCTCGGGTTAATCCTTCCAGCAGTCCCACAATCCTCTGCTGTTTAACACATCAACTGAGCAGCCCAGGATAATGTGCCAAAACCATGCTCTCACTCACACACTCACACACACACACACACACACACACTTGCATAAAGAATAAAGCTTTTTACGCACTAAATGCTTGATGCTCACCAGGAAATTAGGATTCAAGACCGTAAATGTCCGCCTCCCTCTTAAGCACACATGAAAGCAATCATACTCGGCTTTGTTATCTCTCGCTTGTGTCTTCTGTCAACCACACACACCTGACAGCAATACACTCATTAAGTGACAGTTTCTCTGGATGCGTGCAGTGTTGTCAGCTTTCAGCCCCTGCTGCTGCAACAGGCCTGATAAATACAAACTCTACAGTCTGGAAAACAGCCAGAAATGGCTGCTGCACAACCAGAGAGAATGAAAGGGGTGATGAGAAGAGATACAGTAACAGGGAGT